CATGTGTCAACACCTTGCAAGATAGTGTCCTCAGATCAAGATTTTAGGCACTCCTGTATTAGAGTCAATAACTACCTGCAAGGTATCATAGCTAGTAATGGTAATGTCTTGATGAGGCCAGGGTCTGCATGTGTCCACATCCTGAGCTCTCACCTTATAGATACCTTGAAAGTGTGGATATTGCCTCTGGCTAGTATAAGTCTTATATTGCCAATTCAAGTAGAAGAGTTCCTGTTTCTAACATTTTATGACGTTTTTACAATCTGAATGTGGTGCCTAAAATGGTTTTGGCTTGGCTCAGTGGCATGTCTGACTACATAAGTAAAGATATATTATTCAGCCATAAATAATTTGTTTAGGATGAACCATAGGCTGGAGCATAGCTCAGTAGTACAGCATCTGCTTATCATGGGCACGATCATGGGTTTGATCTCAAGCACTGGGGGAGGAAAAAAAAAATTAGCCTTGTGAAATCATTTAGGTTCCCCTAGGACTGTTCAGAAAGTACAAACCAAACTTGAGCACTTTCCACATGATTTTCAGAGTAGTCAATGATGTGATGAATTGGATTTATTAGCATGTTGTCCACCATTTGAGTGAAGGTTTCCTTCTGTGTCATTATTTAAACCTGCACATCCAGTGCATAGCCATTAAATTTAAATTAGCTAAGATAAAATTTAAAACTTAGCTAAGCAGTCACACTAGCCACATTTAAAGTACTCAATGAACATATGCCATTCATGGCTACAATATTGAAGAGCACAAATGTAGACATTGACATCATTACAGAAAGTTTTGTTGGATAATGTGGAGTCATTAACACAGCCAGCCAGCACAGGAGGTCATCCATCTGTCTGTATCTACACTGCTACCTTGTCATTTCACATATTTCTCCCTGCCTGGGTCCTAAGTTGTGATGCTCATATCTGGCTTGTCAAACTCCCTGGTTTTAAAAAAATCAGAGTTAACACATATTCTCCATGACACTCCTTACTCCTAAATAACTTTGAGTTATCCTGAAACACYTCTGTGTGATGTACCATGTCAAATTCCGAAGCCATCCTGTCAGTAGTTATCTTCATACTAGGTTAAGGAGACCATACGGATGCCCAGGAATTTCCACTTCAACCAGAAAGAGCTCCCTTCTTTTCCCATATCAAATCAGCTTTTTAGTTCAAGRGTTCCTAATGATGTAGAATCTTAGTTGCTATGAGTATGTTATCAAACAAGGAAACATACTCTATGATAGTCATCAAGGTGTGATTTGGAAGGTAAACAAACTAAAAAGAATTAATAGCATTGTAAGACCCCTGAAAAGTTAGCCTTGCACTGTATGTACACCAGAAGGTGGGATAAAACCTTGAATGACTGGGGAAAACCAAAAAGAAGTTAGCCTCTTTGTTCTTTGTATTGAAATTCAGTATACTGCCTAACTTTTCAGAAGATTTGTACTTTTTTTTTTTTTAAGTCCAACAAAGGAGGCATTTGCCTAGAATATCCTTACATTAGCTAGTCTTACATTCTTGCACATATTTTTCTTCTCCCTAATAACATGCCTATATGTTTGATAGCATTCTATATTTTTCTAACATTCTTGTTTCGGATATTCTTTTTTTTTTTTTTTTTTTTAGTTGTAGATGGACACAATATCTTTATTTTTATTTATTTATTTATTTTTGTAGTGTTGAGGATCAAACCCAGGGCCTCACGTATGCAAGGCAAGCATTCTACCACTGAGCTACAACCCCAGCCCTCAAATATTCTTTAAAGTGTCAGGTGTTGAATAGCCAACCCTAGTACCTATGTCCATTGCAAAGTAAACATTGAGGTGTTGCCATCATTTTTACCCTCCATGTCTCACTAGAAAGCTAACARTTATTTGCATATTCTTAAAGCCATATGGAATTACAACTTTTGAGCTTCTAATTCAACATCCTTAGAAAATGTTCCTAGTTTTTCTCTTCTCCAGAAGCTCTTCATATTTAATTCCCACCAGATAATTAATTCTACTAGGTGATCCTTTCCCTCCTAGGATCCTAATAAAATTGTTTCCTAAACTGACCCTCAAAGTCTGGGGATATAGCTCAGTTGGCAGAGTGCTTGYCTCGCATGCATAAGGCTCTGGATTCAATCCTAAGCACCAYACACACAAAACAAAAACCTGACCCATGAGTCATCCTGATTTTTAGTATATTCTTGAGAAAACACCCAATAGGTGAGGTAATCCACATACAGTTTTACAAGAGAAAGGATATTCCCCCAAAATTGCATCATCTAGCCAACCAGTGTATAAAGCAACCCACCTGGGGCAAGCAGACATACCCTTCCAGCAACAAAGATGCTACAAATTTGTTGAGGCAAACACACCTCTCTTCCTGCTAATATTAAAGCCACTCAAGATTAAAACTTCATTAACTGCCCTCTTCCAGAAACCTAATCTGCAGGACATCTCTTCACTTTCCCCGCCTTTTGGAGATTTGTCACCAGGCCCTACCAGAGGCCCTAACACTGGGTCTCTGACTTCCCATCTCACCTGGGACTCACTGCCACATTTTACTGATATAGGCTATTTTTCCCTTACTTTTAACAGCTGATGGGAAGYATCCAGTTCTTGTAGAAACTTCACTTTCTGCATCTAGTAGTCAGTAGTAACCCCAAGGGATAGAAATCAGCTCTCATTTCAGACAACAACCCAAAATTAGTCGTGAATACTATATCTATGATATAAGCTCTTATAYAGATCTCATAGAACAGTGCCTAGCAGAGTTAAGCACAATTTATTTGCTATCATTTATTAGCAGCATATCACYTATAAAAAGCAAAATGGCCAAAGTTAATTTATTATAAAATACTTAAAAAGTGATAAGAAGCCTTGTTATGTTTTGGGGAGTATTGCATTTTTTWAAAAAAAAATGTGTTTTAAGTTTGGTTAAAGAATTGTAAATAAATATTGGATAATAAATATTGAATTGATAAATATTGGACAAGTTAGTTGTAAGATTAGTCAGTTATTTAACAAAATAGCTATTTTGTTCGTTGAGAAGCCAGGAATAACATTGGTTCTACTCTAATAATCATTCTTGTCGTATGTATCCCCATTCTTCAGCAACTTTTACATCTGTGTTTGGAAGGAAAAAAAAAAGAAAAAAAATTGGAGAGTTTGATATTTTAATCAAAACTATAAGGAATAATTGATTTGTATGAATACATCATCTTGTCATAACTTGAATTCTTTTTCAAGTAAGATAGCCATCATCATCAAGTATTAATTGATTTCCAACTGTGGTATAGGAAGATTTGCTCTATGCAAATCTGTGTTTAATTATAAAACCTATTATTTCTTATTAAGTAATGGGTTCCTGAATTTAAATAATAGATTTAAAAGATGATATGAATTGGCCAGGCACAATGGCACATCCCTGTATTCTCAGCAACTTAGCAAGACCCAGTCTCAAAATGAAAAATAAAAAGAGCCAGGGCTGTGGCTAAGCAACAGAGTATTCAATCCCCAGGGCCAAAATGTGTGTGTGTGTGTGTGTGTGTGTGTGTGTGTATCCACATCCATATACGCTTGTATGTATATGAATCTTGTAGTAAAAGAATTACCACACACTAATGTGATATATTGCACTCAGAAACAAAAAAAGACCTTGGGATTTCCAACTTGAATATTGGACAAGTTGTAAGATTAGTGATAATCAGGAGAATAGGGAAAGTTTTTTGAGGAATGATAATGAGATATGTTTCAGGTAGCAATTCTCAAGGTGGGATGGGAGCATATTAAAATATTGGATGAGGAACTATTAATATTAAAAAGTTGAAAAATCTGTTTTGAATAAAGTGAATAGCCACATGTTGGTGACTAGTGATAATGTAACATTGCAGATTCTTGCTGTTTCTGAATCAAGCTGTACTGGACTCTTACGTAGATACTTTGATGCAGTGTAGATACTTTGATGCAGTGTCTTACATAATCTCACTATAGGGTTGTTAGACATCACCCCCGCATCCCTCTGCTAACCCTGATTGCCATTACTGATTTTAAAAGGTTTGGGCCACTTGGATTTAAATCTGGGTCTCCTGTGCCAGAGCCTCAATTCTTATTCCTGGCTGCCTGGGAATAATAGTTGTACTTTTATGTATCTGGCCTTCTTAGTGCCTTATTAAAATATTGGAATAATATGTAAACCATATAATTGTTTATAAAAGCAAATGACRTATTTGTGCTTTTAACTTTAACCCTACTTCATCACACAATTAGATTTTTCTGTCTATATAACATGACAAATGTAGTCTATCACACCTTTCCCCCTGGCATACCTGCTAACAATACCATGCAGGGTAATAGATTTAGGACTTTCAGGTGTCTGTTAATTTATCAAGTGCTTTGAAGCTGCAGTGATTTAAAGAAAGCAAAGTGTCAAGGGGCATTGCTCAAAATATTTCTCACAAGTCTGATGACTGATTTAAATTCCTTTTGTGTAATTGATAAATGTCTAATGAAAGAGTAAAGTTTGTATTATACTATACCATGCTTAGGCTTCCAAAATAAGCCAATTTCCAAGGTCTTTGACTAGAAAATGCCCATCTTAAGTATCCAGAAAAGTCATCAGAGTAGTTACCAAAAGTAATATAATATGCTTGTCTTGATTATTATTTGTGTCCTTAGGGAGTTGTTACATTGTTTGGCTAGAGAAGACTTTATTAGACTAAATACAAATTCTAGAGAACATTAGAAGAATGAAGGAAAAAGAATTTAAAGGAGTTTCCCTCTTAAACACAGAAATTATTTATATATATTTCTTTTTAGACCAAAGAATTTTAGGTAGCCAGTTACTGATCCTCTCCACAAACCACCCCAGCCTACCACCTTTATATGGGGAATCCAGTGTCATTTTATGGTAGTATGGGGAAAACTTAAATTGATTTTTTTAGTGTATATGTGTTTATCTGTCTAGTTAACCCTTCTAACTTCTGATATTTTCATTGTTGTCCCATAGATACGAAATGTGGAAACAAATCAGTGTCTAGATAACATGGCTAGAAAAGAGAATGAAAAAGTTGGAATTTTTAATTGTCATGGTATGGGAGGCAATCAGGTGAGTATCTTAATATTAACTTATAAAAAGGAGAATATTTTTAAGTCTGTTTTTACTTTGCCCTTTTTATCTGTGACATCATTCAGGAAATATTTTCCTGTAACAGGCCCTTTGTGAGAACTATATTAACATTGCTGAACACAAAATTTATTTTGTGCTTTCTAGTGAAATTATACTCCCTGACAGCACACTTAGTGTATGCAGAGAACTAAGGCCATTTTTACTTTTTTCTGTATAAACCTGGTGGTAGCTTTTATGAATCATTTAAGTCTCTATTAATTCAATAAAATGCAGAATTGTGTTTCTTAGAATATTTTTTTCCCTCCTAGGTTATTGAGTATATGAAATACTGGCTAATTTTTTTTGTTTGTTATTAAAGCTTACATGTTTCCATTTTGTTTTCCAGGTTTTCTCTTATACTGCCAATAAAGAAATTAGAACAGATGACCTTTGCTTAGATGTTTCCAAACTTAATGGCCCAGTTACCATGCTCAAGTGCCATCACCTAAAAGGCAACCAGCTCTGGGAGTATGACCCAGTGGTAAGTTACCTATCCAGTAGCCTATAGGAATAAAATAATTAGACTGTCACTGTCATTAAGTATGTTTATATTCTTCATAGCTACAATGACTAATATCAACTAATATGGTTAATATGGCCATTGGAAATGGCCTGAATAGTCTCTTCTGGAATGATGTGGTGCATGCTACTGCTCTTTTGGCTGTGCCTGCCCCATGCATTGAAGGATATAGAGTATCTCTGGCATGAGGCAGAAAGTGGCAGTGGCACAGTCATTGTGACAACCAAAACTTTTTTTTTTTTAATCATTGGAGAACTTAATTAAATTTTTTCTTTTAATTAGTTATATATGACAGTAGAGTATACTTTGATACATCATATATAGCAGAGTATAATTTCTCATTCTCTGATTATATATGATGTAGAATCCCACTAGTCTGAAAAACCTCCCACTTTTAAGTTCACTGGAAATTTACAGTGTGTTAATTAGGCAATATGAAAACTACTTATAGTAGCTTAAATAAATAGGCATTTATTTTTCTTATGTAAATCTAGAGGTCAGTGGTTTCGGGTATAGATTCAATGGGACATTGGTGTCAGGGATAGCATAACTATAGTATTATCAACTTTCTATATGGCCAGAAGATGGCTTCTGAAGCTCTCATTGTCACATCTAAACTCAAAGTAGAAAGAGAAGGGAAGAGGGAGTGTTTCGCTACCACATATGTCGCTCTTACTCAGGAAAGCAAAAGCTTTTTTTGCAACCCTCTTAGCAAACTCTGCTTATTTCTTATGGGCCAGAACTTTATCCCATAGTGACCCCCAGCTCAGTGACAAGGAAGAACAGAAAACTAAGCATTTGGTTTTCTAGTCTTTATAGTATGAGATTGCCAAGTGACAAAGATTGGGAATGACTGTTGTCTATTTATCCTACACAGTCTACCACAACAGGTATTTGAAAAGTAAATATTTGCTTAGAAATATAAGAGGCTGGAGATGGGGTATTTATAAAGAACTGGTTGTTGAGTGTAAAGTTTTAAAACTTACGAATCACTTTGCAGAGTTTTTTCCTGAGATTAAAAATTCAATGTCATAGGCTAGTTTCTCCCAGAAGCAGTCTGTAAAATAAAATTTAGTGTTCAGATGTTTATTAGAGGTCAYTTTTTTAATCAATACCTGTGAAAAGGAAAGGGAGAAGGCAAAATTGGACAGAAGGAGAAGTCAAGCTGCAGTACTGGTCCACCTCCAGCAGCCTGAGCTGACTGTAGTAGGGAGCTCTAGAGGGGAACAATCCATCAGAATTATCCTGCKTCTAGCTGTTGAAAACATAACAAATTATCCTGCTTCTAGCTGTTGAAAACATAACATAACTAGAGAGAGAACAAAATATTTATATCAGTAATTTATAAATGTAAACTCAAAGTAATGAAATCTTGGATTTCAAAGGAACCCTAGAAATAAAATCCAGGACACTGTTTTGTGTGAGTAGAAACTGAAGCCCAGAATGGAACTCAGTTGCCCAAGGTCACAGAACAGGTAATGGTATAAACTAGATCTCAAAACTGGGATTCTTGATTTTTGGTCTAGGATTTTTTTATATAATACCATGGTGTCTTTAATTAAATTTCTATATTTATATATCTTTAAATCTTGTTTATATTATATATTACATAAATTTCATAATGTAACACCATCCTCTTTTGCTATGACTACTTACAGTTGTCCCTTCTAGACTACAGTGTGGCTTGAAACCCCATTATATCTAGGGATCAGGGCAGGAGGTGGGCAAATTATTTTTTCTAGCTTATATGTAGACTTTTTGTAAAAATTAATTATAACTTTTATCCTCTTCAAAGATTAAAGGTAGATATTTGTCACTTGCCTGTCTAGTTGCCTTAATTGAGGTTTCTCTATGTGGAGTCTAGTCAGTATTAGCTGGGTTTTCTGTTGAGTCCTGAGATGACAAAGCTCACAGTGTCACTAGCCACAGAGCTCTTCACCCCATGTCAGTTACCAGAGCCTTATCTGGAACAAGATTCTTCACCAGAGTCCAGGTCTCTGGGGGGCTGTTCAATTGAATTATGAGAATTTTATACTGTTGTTAAACAGTTAAATAATCAGTACCAAACAGTAACCCAATTTRTTTCAAGTTTATTTGAATTAATCTAGATAAATGAAATGCACATTTTTAGAAATTGGGATTTGAAAAAGAGAATTATCCAACCAAATTTTTATTGTACTTAAATTTCTTTCTGTTTTTAATAATATTGGCCATGGGCCTGAGGAAGAATGTCAATAGAACAAGCTTTGCAGGGAGTTTTGGAATGTTTGAGGGTTTTTTTTTTTTTTTGTCATCAAAATTTAAAACTTCTCTTTATCAAAGATACCATTTATAAAATGAAAAGGCAGAAAATATTTGTAAAACACATTCTGGCAGAGGATTTATGTCTAGAACATATAAGCAACTCCTAGAGCTCAATAAGAAAAATAAACGACTGAATTAAGAAATGGGCAAAAGGCTAACAAAGCACATAAAGTATTCAGTACCATCACTAGTCATCAGGGAAATGCAGAATAAAACCATGCACATTCATAGAAAGACTACAATTTAAAAGACCGTCATTAAATGTTGGTGAAGACATGGGTCAACCAGAATTCTTATACATTGTGGATAGCTATGCAAAGTAGTACAACCACTCTGAAGATCAGTCAAGCAGTTTCTCATAAACATGTGTCTACCTAACAGACCAATAATACTATAGCTGGATGTTTACATAAAGAAATTAAAATATATGTTTTTAAAAAGACAAGTATAAGAATACT